TGGGGATCCTGGTCCATGGCAAGTTGAACATGAGCCAGCAGTGCCCTGGCAGCCAGGAGGGCGACCTGTGTCCTGGGGGACATCAGGGACAGCATCCCCAGCCAGGCAAGGGAGGGGATTGTCCTGCTCTGCTCTGCTCTGCACTGGGGCAGCCTCACCTCGAGTGCTGGGGGCAGCTTTGGGTGCCATGATATAAAAAAGACATGAAGCCATTAGAGGGAGTCCAAAGGAGGCCACAAGGATGGTGAAGGGTCTGGAGGGGAAGCCATATGAGGAGTGGCTGAGATCCCTTGGTCTGTCCAGCCTGGAGGAGACTGAGGTGAAACCTCAGTGGGGTCTTCAACATCCTCATGAGGGGAAGAAGAGGGGCGGGTACTTTTCTCTGTGGTGACAGGACCCGAGAGAATGGCCTGAAGCTGTGTCAGGGGAGGTTTTTGATGGAAATCAGGACAAGGTTTTTCACGCAGAGGGTGATTGGTCACTGGAACAGGCTCACCAGCCAGCCAGAGTTCGAGAATCATGCAGGGCCAGGAGTTGGGTTTCAATGTTCCTTGTGGGTCCCTCCCAACTCAGGATATTCTATGATTGTTTGTTTCCATGGAGTAGGAGAACACAGAAGGGTAGCTTGTGACAATTTTTATAAAATAATTCCTGGTATTGTATTATTTGCCAAAGAAAATCTGATGACAGGTAAGTAGAGAAAATGGATTCTGCAGTGTTTTCTTTTATTTGGGCGCACCTCATCTAGTACATGTACGGATGCCATTGCAGCAGTTTTGTGACTTTGCCATGGCTTAGAGGGACCTGCTCCTGACTGACTTTGTATTTTGCCTTGCTTCCACTCCAAGGAGTGTGCCCCAGACAATGTCAATATTTTGGGGGGGTCCCCCTTGTTTACTGCTCTTTCACTAGGAATGCTAGCTTCCTGGGAGCACATTCCTGGGCCCACCTTCAATGGAATAGGCAGATGGTCATCACCGGTTGCCCTGTATTGTGGCAGTTACAGGGTTTACTCTTCTAGGGACACTTTGGATAGTATTGTCACACTTAGCCATGCTTCTGGCACATGAACTGCCAAGTTCAGATGGTCTCTTGTAGTCACCATCTCCTGTTCTTTAGTGATGCCTTGTGAAGGCTGACCTACAACAGAGACTAGATGGAGCTAAAGAATAAAGTAGGTATTTATTAGAAGGCCTCAATGGATACACCTTGGGCAGCACAAGAACCCAGCCAGGGCTACACCCAAGATGAACCCAAAATGGCCACAAAATGGACAACTGGTCACGGGGTCTCACACTTTTATAAGTTTTGGTCCATTAGCATATTGGAGCTAATTGCCCAATTACAGCTTTAGCCCATGAAGTCCCATCCTTCTTGTTTTTCTCTCTTCATTCCACTGTTGTTTATGCTCTTGGGCCTGAGATCTGGATCGGTTGTCCTTGGTCCCCAGCTAGAGAAGGAATTGTTTTGTCTCCCTGCTCTGTGAAGAGAGCTTACTGTCCCCTAAGATGAAGCCCAGACCACACACTAAAGCAACACAGAGTCTGAAAACTAGAAAAGCTAGAAAAGCTAAAACCTGAGGCATCACTAGGCTGCTCCTAGTATGTTTTCAGAGGTGTTTTTGGGATGCACTCACCTTGGGAGCTAAGCACTGCCTTTCACAAGTACCCCACTCTCCCAGGTGACTATGGAAAGAGGAAATGCAGCACCAGTGCCCCAGATCACTCATGCAGTGCATAGTTTCTAATTATTTGTCATGACAGAACCTATATTGGAGGTGTCAGGGAGGACTCTTCATATCAATTTCAGCATTTGTTGATGTTATAAAGTGGCAGGGCAATTATTTTCTGCATGAATAGTTACCAAACTGAAGATTTTTTTAAACAAAACAATCCTCATGCAGATACTGGCACAAGCTGACCATTGCAAAACATCTCCATTTGTCAGTAAGCTTTTGCAACCACTAAAATATCCCTGTTGTTTGTGGTGGCATTGTGAAAGCAGACAGTAAATGTTGTGTGAGCCAGAAAAAGAACCAGCTGTTAAGCTGAATTCCAGTTTTACCTTAACAGGAGAGTTATTTCAACCCATTTTTTCTAAATTCTAATCAATTTTAAAGGGGGAGGGATTTTTCTATGCTTTCACACCTACCTTCTTTGCAATAGCAGGGCCCAACTCATGGAGTAAAAGGAATATTGTACATTCTGAGAGGCATTTTTCAAATACAAAAAGATCATTTTGTCATCATCATCCTCATCCCCATTGTGCTGGAGTTTAATGATGTGGGAAATGGTGAGATATAGTTGCATAACTCTGAAAGCTGGCATGTATTCCTTCAAAGGAAACAAGAAAGAATAACTCCTCTGAAAAAAGTACTCAGACTTGAAAATGCCATATTTTGTTACAGAAGCAAATTTTCTGTCTTTTTTTATTTTTACTATAGAATGTAACTAATCAGAAGGTATTTCAGATTAGAGTTTGTTACATTGGAACAGTATTTTTGGGCAGTTGTCCATTTTCACTGGCACAACAGTAACAAGCATTCCAATAATTAGCTGGTTAGTAAGTGTTCAAGGTCTAAGGAAAGGGAGAAGAAAAAATCTAAACTCTCAAAATTCTGGTAATTGACATATCTCTTTTAGGTACAAGGAGAATTTTGCTTCCTCTTCATTATTCAGTGTGAAAGGGTGTTCTTTAGAAGTCTGGGTTTTTAACATTTTCTTACTAAATTTCTTTTTTTCACATTTTTGAGGACAAATTTCTTAAAAATATGCATCTTGGACAATGAGTGCTTAGTGTCCATTTGAAAACTTGCTTCTGCTTTTTGGCAAGTTCCCTCTGTGTGTCCAGCAACAAAAAAAAGGACTTGAAATTCTTTTCTGACCTGTCAGGTGGGAGTGCACTCAGCAGCATTATAGCATTATGGGATGGCTTTATATTCAATAGAAGGACACAACTTGAAGTGTCTATGGAGCCTACCTAAAACAGCTTTGGAATAATTTGGACTGTTTATGTTAAATTGTCATGCCAAAATCTTCTAGTCTTACCTTGTTCTTTTGGGTTTGTGCAACAAGATTTTGGTAGTAGGGGGAAGATTTTATTTTATTTTATTTCTCATTATCTTGTTTGGTGTTAAATTAAACTGATTTCCCCAAGTCAAGTCTGATTTGCCCATGATGACAAACAGTCAGTGATCTCTCCCTGCCCTTATCTCACCTACCTTTAATTCTATTTTCTCTCTCCTGTCCTGCTGAGCAGAGCTGAGAGAGCAGCTTTGGTGGGCACCTGGTGTCCAGCCAGGGTCACCCCAGCACACATTGCTTTGGGGCAGATGTACCTTCTCTCCTGCTGAACAGATCATCTACCACTTTAAGGTGTGTGAGTTTTAGTCAGGCCGTGACAGGATTTTGAGAAGCTCACTCAAAATGATGACTTCCTATTAGTGGGAGATTCTAATCTAGGATCTATGGGCCCTGTGGAACGCAAGTTTTGTTTCACTTGCTAACGTAAGTAAGTGAGTAAGTTAAAAATCAGAAAGCGGATAAAATTATATTGTGCAATTTCCTTTTACTTTAGTCCACACGGTAAAGGAGGGGCTGCCCTCATCTATATTTATACCAAAAATGGTTGTCATGTTCAACAGACCACCATGCTCCTAATCCTCTATTTTTTTCCAAACCTCATTCTCACCTAAGATGAAAGTATATTCTTTTACTAGGTGTGTGATGTGTGTTGTGAGCTTTTTTTGTTTTTGCTGGTTTGTTTTTGTGGGGTTTTTTGACAGAACTGTGGGATTTACTAAGTCAGCAAGACTTTTTGTACATTTGGGGATCAGTGGAAAGAAAATGCTATTTCCACTTGGTGCTATTTCAGTGGATTAGGCAGTTCTTCAAACATAAATATTTGTTTGAATGATAATACCTCAAGGTCTCCCAGCTTCCTTGGTGCTACCTGAGATCCTTGCACATATTTTTCATCATAGCACTCTTGACATAAAGGTCTGATACTCTATGTGATAAAAATTTTGCAATTATTATCTAAATTGATTAATTATCTAAAAGGCATTCATAGGAACCAAAGATACTACTTAAAAAAATATATAGTACCATACTAGCAGTGGTTCTAAAGGTTGCTGCATTGTGTGAACACCGCTGCTCAGTCCAGCTTTCAGTGAGTGCCCATGTTTAGCAGAAAAAGTGAAAGTAGTTGGTCTGGTGGCCCATTTAAGACTACAGCACTGCAAGAAATCACCCAGGAGAGTCTGCTGGTTACTGTGTCTAGGAAAATTCCCAATGCTCCTTTGAAACACAACATGTCCTCCACTGGGAACATTCAGAGGAATTGTTCAAAAAAACCTTGCAAGCATTTAATAACAACTTACATAATATTTCAACACATATTCTATATGCTTCACTTCTGTTGTTTTATCAGTTCTAATTGATATATTCTAAGTGATTTGGGGTGTCTTCATTTAGAAAGACTTAATTTGTTTTGACACTATAACTAATGCCTGCAAATACTGTGTTCAAAACTATTTCTTTAATATATTGACACTTCCCAATATACAAAATTTTTAAAATTTGGCCTTAAGGTCAAATTCTCATATCTAAACCACATATTTAAGTAGTGGATTCAGTTTTGCATATGTGTTAAGGTAATAACCATACAGGAAGAGTAGATGATAATGTATACATTAGAAGCATGAAGCCCAAAGTTATTTGCTTTAGTGAGAGCAGTTGTACATTTAAAGAATTGTTTTCTCTCTGTGTTTGATGTGTACGTGTATATTATGTTACTTATCCTATTCTTTCTCAAGCATTATTCATTTTAATTGCAGTTTAAATCTACAGCTTACATGTAACAAAATATCATCAGTGCTAGGTTCTTCCAGCAGTTAGGTTCCAAAATAATTGCCATTTCAGTGGTGATGAAGGGTAAAACATTGGCTCATGCAGTTCCTTTCCTTCTTTTGCTAGTGCTAAGGCTCCATATATTACCAGATGTCCTTCTGCCTGACTGAGATGTTTCTGTGGTCTTTGAAGACCAACTTACATATTAGAGGTAAGCTGTTATCGGTTACTAAAACAAATCATCAAAGCTTGTTGATGGGTATTAAACTAATATAAAATTCTGAATACCCAAAGGAAGTTTTTTTTTATACTTAAGAGAAAGTAAATTAGCAGCAATACAGAGTTTGAATTTGGTCAGCTTCTTTGCTTTTCTTGTCATGGAACTGGAGCATCCTTTCAAGTAAAAAATATTAAGATTATATTTGATTGGATGTATTTCCCTTCTCGGGAAGCTGTGGCCTACTTGACTCTGAGCTTCAGTTTAATGGTTAGTTTGGGTGAATGATCCACAGTCAAGTGAACTGCAGAGGCATTGTGATTTGTACTCAATGTGAAAATAAAAGATTACTGCATGTTCTGGGTATTTTGCATGATTCCTTGAAGTTTCATACTTACAAGGATACATTTGTCTTATTAATTGATTGTTCCAAAAGACATATGACTAAATCCCAGCCATGTGTACATTACCTTCATTCGTCTTGCCTTGCTATTCCTAAAATATAATTATTAAAAAACCCACTGTTTTAAAAGTGGACAATATCAAAAGATTATTTATGACACTTCATGTCAATTGTACTGTACAATAATTTTATCAAAATATTATTTTGAATAATCAATTGATATTCAGCTGAATGTTATTACTCAAATATTGACTCAGTGTGCCTTGACATCCCATCTTTGTGTGGGAACTGTTCTATGACAACAATAACATCTAAAACTCAAAAGCTGTATTTCATAGAAAAATCCAATGGTTTAAGTGAAAACACTGTTGTGATTTATTGTAATTAAAGCTCTGCTGTGGAGTACCATGCCTATTTTTCACTTTTGACCTTTTTTGCTTCCATTTATTCATTGCCTAGATGCCTCATTGAAAAATTCTGAGGCAGAAGGGAGGATGATGTCCTGGTTTAAATCCTGCCTGCCTTTTCAGTGCCTTCCTACTTTTTTTTCCATGTAATGAATTTCTCCCCATGGAATATATATACCTGTCTGACTTTAGGAGGACACAGATGCAGTGAAAAATTAATTATTTTAAAACAATGCAACATAATGCTGTACTTAGACATGCCCAGTGGAGCTTCCCAAGGCACCCCTAAGCGTTTACCTGTCAGCCTCATCAGGAACTGACTAGTGCAGTTGCAGTCCCTATGCAGCTGAAATATCCAGATTTCTGTGCCACAGGAACCAACTAGATGATAATACCTGTAGAATAAGAATATTGGATCCTTTGAAAGAACAGCTTTATGAGTTCATGAATCTTAGGAAAAAACTTCAACCAGTTGTTTTTAGCTCAGCTGTGTCAGTCATCAGAAAACATTTTAAAGTTATTCCAAGATACATTTTTCACCATGATCCTTACTTTTCCTTGTAAAAGAACACAAAATATGCTAATTAGGAAGGTGGTAAAAATACTTTTGCACATGTGCAGCTAGAAGGGAATCAAAGTGTATGTAAAGGAAATGACAGCCTCAAATAAATGGAAGGGCTTGTCATCCTTCTTCATGCCTTCTCAGCTGGTTCTTGAAAGTCCCAATGGTATTTAGGCTATATACTGTGCTTGTATTTTAACACCAAGCATTGCTTTAGCAGGAAAAAATTGAGGTGCTGAACCTTGCTTTCTAAGTTGTGTTCTGTTTCTAGTAATAATTTAATGCATTTAATTGTACAGATGAAGACATTGGGATCCACCAGTACTGTGACAAGAAACAACCAGGTAAATACATATATAAATACTGAAACTGAGCAAAACTTCAGGATGTTCAGTGTTTGACACCAACTGCTTGCTCTTAAAAATGCAGCTTCACATTTCTTGTTAGTATATACCTCTGTATTTCTATGGAATAAGGAAACACAGAAAGAGTTTCTCTCTCCAAACTTATGTAGGAATATTAAAAAACTTTTTAAACTACAGAAGGGGGCGGGGGGGAAAGGAAAAAAAATTCACATAAACCCAACCGTTATGTAACTAAAAACCTCTGTGGGATTTTACACTCTGAATTCTTACGGGGTTTAAGATATTTTGTGTTGTGTGGAGCCCAGGGCACGGCCGGGTGATCGCCGGGATCCCAGCAGAGGGCATCTCTGCCTGCCCTCCGGAGTGGCCATTCCGGGGCGAGCGATCCATTGCCTTGATCTCATTAATCCTGCTCATCCTACCAGTTTCCCCACGGGCCGAAGGGGCTCTGGGGCTGGGGTTCCCCCCTTCCCGCCCGTCCCGGCGCTGTTCCACTGGCGCTGACGGACCGACGGAGCCGACTGACCGCGCTCCTGCCTGCGGGGCTGGGGCTCGGCCGTGCCAGCCCACCGGTGTCAGCCTTGCCTTCACTGCCAGTTTAACATATCTGCCCTACAGGCTGAAAGCACCGGGGCTGCCCGGATTGGTTTGGAAATTTCTGTGTTTTATCCAACTGTGCTGGTCTTCTCGCTAATATTAATGTTTGCTGACAGTAGTGTTAAGGATTAATTCATCTTTTCATCCTCTTTCCTTTAGCATCACAGATGAAGTACAGTTACTTAGAAGAGAAGCAAAAGCTAGCAGAATGTGAGGATATTTTCTGAGTTTCTTCTTACACTAAGATCAAATGGCAAATTTGGATTGGCTATGCCCCTGGAAGAGCATTAAAATAACCCCAGACTGCTTCCAATGTAACTTTCTGCACATGTCATCTAAGACTGATGATCACAGAACTACACAGCACAAAACAATTGAAAATTTGTAATTTTTCCTTCCTGGTATATATGCAATCTGTTTTTTTTTTCCTGTCACTAAGCATTGCAGCATTTATTGCTTTTCCAGTCCATTGTAAAAAGTAATCACAAAAATAATCCAGATTTTTCCTTATGAAATTTACTTAGCAGATGAGCAATAAACATTTTCCCAATCATCTCTGGCCTTGCAACACCATCTGGCTTAAAACTGGAAATTGTAACTAAATATTTTCAGCCAAATAGACTAATAATAATAACTAATAATAATACCAGATTAATAATCAGCTGCCTTCATAGAATGGTTTCAGCTTTGAATCATTTTCACTGTCCCTGCATTACCTGGTTAAAGGCAATTTCAGTTCATGCTATCACACAGCAGTACTTGTGACTGTTAATGATGTTTATATTAGTACAACTTTTCTTTAGCTCAAGTTTTACAACTCCTGCATTGCTCAGAACGTTCATTAATGTTCAAACATTATTATATGACAACTCTGAAAAATCAAATTGATTTTTTGGATAACTTCACAAAGCCACGTCTATGCTGTTAGCTTATCCAAATGAAAATTCCCATGGAATTGTGCATGCATATGGAGGCAAAATGTGTTCTGGAAGGATTAGTTCTTCCCATCACTGCAAGGTGTGTTTGGAGCAGGCTGAAGCCCCGCTGGGGATGGGTGTGAAGGTGCAGCCATGTGGCAAATCCACACCTGCTGCAGAGGTTGCTGTGTCAGGCGGGGTCAGTGCAGCTCTGGGAAGGTGGGCAGGTGAGGGAGGGCTCTAGGCAGGGAGGAGCCTCACAGGTTTGCATCACTTGTGCTCAGTGTAATGGTATCCCACAGGGCTGCATGTGTGAAAGGAGGAGCAGGCCTAGATAACCCTTGTCACCAACAGCCCCGGTGGTGCCTTTTACACTTGTGATGGGCAACAGGACCTCAAGCTGCTGCATCTTGTCCCTGGGAGTGTGGGGGTGCCCCTAAAACAGGGCCCGCACAGCACATTTTGCAAAGAGGAGCACTGAGAAACTTCATTCACAGCTGTTGATTTGTACAGATAGTTTGGTATCTGTACAGGCAATTTCCCATTTTGCATATGTGGATAAATATTCCAGTATTTATGAAAGCACCCATTGAAAATGTGATCTTACATGCCTAATTAATATTATCATAACAGTTCCACCAACGCTGGCTTCAGTCCAATGAAACACAAAGAGAAGTTGTATGCTGGTGTCCTCTTTTGTTGATGTATAAAATCCTTCATTTTTTCACTGTATAGCACTTCTATTGTAAGCTGCTTTTTGCAGGGAGGTTTAAGCACAACTGCTAAGTCATTCAGTCTGGAAGTTGGCATACAAACTGACAGCTTGGAGCTCAAAACTTTTCATCAGGTTTCCTTTAAATAGGAATAGATTATAAACAATGTGTTCTAGTGGTTTTATTGTACACTTATGAGCAGAAAACTGCTCACTTTTAAATGAAGAAATTTCACAAGTTATTAGAGCCTGATTCTCATCCATGAAACAAGCCAGTTATTGGCAACTCCAGAGGAAGCTTTGCCTCCTGGTTGCTCGAGTATTAGGCCAGAATTTTCACAATAGTGTGCTGAACACTAATAAATTTGTTAAAGGACTTCAGCAGTCATGCAGCTTTTTATTTGCTTGACTTGGCAGATTCTTCAGACTAAATTTGCAAGAAAATCCTATAAATAACTAGACTCCATAAGTTATGGCATTCACATTTGCCTGTAGTTAATATTTCTATATATGCATATATTCATGCATATATATTTTGCAGACGTGTTAGCGCCTGCTTTTTGAAATTAGGCAATGAAATGTTAGTTCAGAAGAAGAGAATCTATTTAGGATGTTTGAAACTTGAAACTGAGTTAATATACTGAACAGCAGATACTTTTTCACTGCAAGTGCCTAGCAGCTGGGTAAGCTTTGCACACAATTGCCATGGGGAAATCATGGTCATTGTGGATAGAGCATGCCAACTGTTCCTATGATTGAGCCTTCCAAAAACAGACCCTTTGACAATAGAAACCATGGCCATTTCCTTCCAGCTGTAGGTAAGTTTTACATGTAAGGCAACTCCTAGAAATCTTGGATTTGTGGAAGGAAGTTCAACTCATAGAATTTTTTAAAATGACACATATAAATGTTTGCACACACACACTTTATATGTATACAGTCACTTACATATACACATTTCTCTACCATCTTCATTTTTTTTTCCCTCACTTTTATTTGACAGCTCGAGATTATCCTTGGATCCTGAAAACCAAGCGAGCAGACAAACTGCGAGATGCACTCAAGGAGGTGGAGGTATGGTTCAGAAAGGTTCAAGCACAGCAACATCTGATCTGGTTTTCAAACCTCTTTCAACAGCTTTAATTTTCATAAAGATCCAAGTCTCTCAGTGATGATAAATGTGCTTTTGTCTGGTGGGCTCTTCTGAAACAGCTGCATCTTTGTGTGGCATTTTTCATCTGTTAACTGGAAAATCAGAAGTCTGTTAACTGATAGTGACAATGTGTGCTGCCAACTCCATTCTCTGTTTTCTTTTGTCCTTTAGGACTTAATGCAGAACAGTCCATGTGTGCTGAGCAAGTGGAAGAACAAACATACCTGTCAGGTACAGTGTCATCAAAAGGTCTTGTAGTGTTCAGTTGGTGGTGCTGAACTGAATTCAGTGATGGGACTAGTAGTGTTAAAATGTTAACACAGAAAATCACTGGTGTTTTTTTAATATGTGGGCCCTTGTTAAGTAAATTTGGTTTATTTAAATTTCTACCCTGAAAAAAGTCCTTCAAATAAAAAGCCTGGGGTTTATCAACACAAAGAAATTACAATAAAAGGCCCTGATTCTGTGAGATGATGATGGTGATGATTACTATTATTGTTGTTGTTAATTATTGTTATTGTTATTATTACTGTTACTGTTTGGGGAAACTGAAAACATCCTGTACCTAAAAATAGCAGGCTGAGGGAGCAGTTATGTGTTAAAATATATAGACAGGTCTGGAATCTGTGTTATATTATTTTTATGTCTTAATTAGCTATTTACCTGTCACAAATCTTTTTACTTTATGCTTGTGTAATCTGGAAGGGAAGTTATAACTCTAAACCAACAAGATCATTAATCAAGTTATGGAATAAGAGATATTGCGCCATGTGGCACACAAATAGTTATGTCTCCGGCTATATGAGTTCCACATTTTGTGTACAAGAAACCCTTTTTCATATCCTCTCTAAGACAGAACAGCAGGGCAGGGAGGAGAGCTGAACATGAATTGCTCCATAATCATGTGCTTCTTCTGAAAAACATATGTAGTGAATTTTGTATGTTTATACAACCTTCATGAGGAAATGCATCATATTTGAAACTGCTTTGGCATGGGGAATATTTGTTAATATTACTGTTTCAAACAAGGAACTTTGTCTTCTAACTTTTCTGCTTTTTCAGACTCATAATTTTTTCTTCTTATTCAAGTAGTTCCAAATGTGTGTCAGCAGAATGATTGTTAAATATCCAAACACTGTACAGCTAAAATTCTAGAAATGCCTTTGAGAATAGCAAAATTTTTAAATGCTTGACATGCCAAATGGTATGTAGTCTTTTCATATCAATAATAAAAATATGATTGTCTAAGCTACATTTGCCTATCAGATCTTACTGCTAGTAAATGTATATCATTCACATACAAATTACATAGTATACATCTGTGAATGTTAATCTTCTAGAGCTGATTTAAATATTAATTGCTAATTTGGGGGAATAATTTTTCCCTGTTATTATTGTTCTGATTAGGAAAGGAATTTGGTTAAGAAACACCAAGTCAATTAGCTGTGAGTGCATTCATTTACATCCCAGTTTGCTGTCTCTTCATTTGCTTTCCTTGTCCATTCTCCTTTTACCATTTTCCTTCCCCTCCCATTCATCAGCATCCACCTGCAATGTGTACAGTACATACTTTGGAAAAGTAAACTTCTTGCCAGATGTGTTGTCCTGCCTACATAATATAACACCTTTGACTATCAGTTCTGTATAAAATTCTTCTTTATTTTTTGACTTCACATCCTCTAAGTTACTTCAGGCCTACATCAACGTGAATGAGACAAATGCAATTTAACTTATTTCTTCTAGGAGATGGGAAATAAAAGAGATGGGTGTTTTCATCTTAGTGTATTAGGTATTGAACTATGTAAAGGGGTAGCTTAATAAATTGAGTATTTGGGGTGTTTTTCAGATGGCTTCTAAGGCCAGGGTATAAGTGATGGTACAGGTTATAACATAACCAGAGTGAAAGTTATATATAAAAATCATAGTAATTTCTCTGTCCTTAAATTCTGCTTTTGGTTTCTCAATCACAAAACAAAATGTTTTTGTTTAATAGTGACTGATTATTGAAATCTCCAACAAGGGTTAGAATGTTTTGCCAAAACAATTGTGTTATTCCACTTTCTGTCTTCCTGAAAATAAAAGACCTCCAACAAATGAAAATAAATAGAGAAAAATTAATCATTTGGAAGAGTCTAGAACAGAAAAGCTGTCTTCCATCAATTTTGATGTCAGACGGCTTGTTTTTCTGCTGCTCATCTGTCTTTGAGCATTTGGCAGCAATAATTGAACTGTCCCTCTTTGATGCAAATGGAGAAGATGTTGTATATTTATTCTTAATTCTAAGTAGAATACTAATTAACTGTTTCAGCAGAGAGTGCTTACCACGCAATGATGTCATCTGTGGCATAACACTGATGTATTCACAGCCTTTTTTGGATGAATACCAGAGCTAGTGGGAAGAGTCTGTATTTGCATTAACTTTGGGGCGTTAAAGCAGTGTGTCAGACAAACAGCATGAAGAACATGTAGGAAATTACCCTGATTTTCATAATTTCAATGTTTGGGCCTAAATTTGATCATATGGTTTTAATTATAGTATCTGTTTTTCCTTTGTTTTTAGTAGCAATACAAGGTCAAACAAACTTTATAGAAATTAAAATATTTAATTCAACAACCACATTTTGCCATTTTTTATTAAGTGTTATTTATTTGTTATTTATTTATTTATATTTGAATCTGCCATACCTGTAGCTGAACCAGAAGCAGTTTCCTTTGTATTGTAATTACAATGTGCCATCCAGAAACTCAGTGGCTGCTGTACCTTGAGCAAGACAAATGGAATGAAAACTGAAAGGTGATACAATGAAAACAAGACTATGCTTTAAAAGAGTAGTGTGATTTCTCTCAGATTTTGTGCAAAACAAGCATAAGGCTGCTGCCAGTGCACCTTCTGTAGCCTGAATATGCAATATACCACTATTCCTAAGCCCTCACTCTTCCTCCAGCACTTCCATCTTAGAAGTTGCCCACAGGCAAAAATTGGGGGCTGTAATTTTAAACGTGCATCTGCCAAAATTGAGCGTGCAGTCATGTTAACTGTTCATGTGCAAATAGCCAATTAGACTCCATGCAAATGCCCCAATGAGAAGTCCAGTTGTTTTGCCTGCAGATTATCTTGTCCATTGCATGAGTGTGTTTCTCAAAGTTGGCTTTTCTATATGAGTTTGCCTAGAATGACCATAATGCTGGCCTGGTTTTCTACTTTTGTTAGTATTTCATTTTATGCTATATATATTTTTTTTTTTTTTGGTGTGCAATCAGTGCAAGAGAAGTTTCGTATTTACTTTCTTGTCCATTGCCAAAAAAACCCTTTATTTTTGCAGTCCTAAGTATACATTCCACCACTACTTAGAGCATCTGAAAGAGATGATGTGCCAGTTAATGTAAACATAACCTAGACAGTACAGGGATTTTTGTCAAGGAGTCATATTTAAAAGAGCTTAGTTGAGTCCTAAAGGACTGAGGTCTTCTCTTTAGCTCTGTTCCAATAGGGTCTGAACCCACACCATTTCTGTATGGTACTTCTGATCCCCAACTTTGATGACCTTTGTTGAGTTGCTGAAATAATCCTGTAATCTTCAGTTAGCTGATGTCAGAGGAAAATAAACCATAAAAGAAGGATGACAGGAAAAAGACAAGAAGTCTTTACAATAAGATGCCACTGTGCTCTTCAGCTTTCCCTGCCAAGGAGTAATAACCTAAGGAATTTATTTTATCAGTATTGTTGAGTTTACTCAGCTCAGATCTGGCTGCTTCTTGTCTTTGTCTCCTTCTCTAATTCTTTGGAATGCATTTAAGTTTTGCCACAAAATCATTAAATCTTCCTATGAAACGATGCCATTGCTTAAGGTTTGGTCTTACAATATAAAGCAATAAAAATAAATGAGATCTAGCTGAAACATTTGATTTCCAATTTTTTTTTTAGTTTTACATTTGCATTATGATGTTGAATTAAGCTCATGCCAACATTGTTATAGAGTTTATTGTATAAAAGCCAAGCACTAGCTATAAATCATATCTGTTACCTGCTAATGAAAAAGATTTATGTATACTTTGCTAAAGTGTTTTGATATTTTTTAATTGTATTTTTGCTCCAATTTACATATGTATGTAGTTTTTCTGTTGCCATTGTCAACATACTTAAAACTGGATTCTGAATTGAGCTCCACAGCAATATTTTCTTGCTTGTTCTGTCAGTACAATGCCCATTAGCAAACTGATTTAGCAAGGCACATGGTGATGTAGCACATTTGGTATCAAAACCAAGACATTCTGTCTAGAATACATGAGAAGCCAGCACCCATCCCCAGTTACTAAGAGGAACACTGCCCTCATATTAAATTCTTTTGGTTGCTTTTGATCACAACCATTAATGTGTTGCGTGGTTTTAGATATTTGGAGCTAGAAGTACAAATGCATTGATTATTGTGAAACAGTAACATGTAACAACAATAACTTCATCTGTAATAAGGCATGCAACACAGTAATTATGGTGGGGTGGCTAAGAAAGCAATCTGGAATGAAGAGGTGGGGAAAAACCCTGGGAACCTGCTTGAACAAGAAGTGCTTTGCAAATCTCTTCTCCTTTTGCATATTCCTTTGTCAGTTGGGCTCTCTAAGGGAAAACAGTTTGCAGCAATATTTTTTACAGGCATATTTTCCTTCTCTTCCAATTTTAATCAGATAGAAGCAAATCCTGGCTTTGCTCCACAGGTATCTTTTTAGGTAGAAGAGCTGATAAGCAGCTGAGCTGCATGAATGAGGAGTCAAGAGCTCAGGCTTCTGAGGATAAAGGGATCTACTTAAGTAGATGCTTAAGTTGTACTAAAGTCTGTAAGTCATGAACCTGCACTTAAGTCCTTTGCTTAATAAAAACTATCTCAAATACGTATTAGAGCACTTTGCTATTGGAGAAGGGAAAGGCTAAGTCTTCCCTTGAGTATCCTCTGCTGCATATGCCTTTCTTGCACAGTGAAGAGCAATTTTTGGCATATAAAATACATACTCCTTTCTATCAAAGTCTCCACGTTCAATTCCTCTGTAACAGAGAAATTAAGTGGCCCTTCCTTCCCAGTATGGAGAATAACCAGGTGCCCAAACTTTTTACACAGACTACATTCAAGTACAAAGTTTCTGCCTTATTCTTCCAATAGGTATGAAGTCATGCTTTCATATTTTATTTAGGAACACCTTGTGACTGTTTAAACTCTGGAGATAGCTCTTCTGATTTTATTTTTCCCATCACAGTACTTCAATCTGAAAAATTTATGATGTGTTTCATCATTGTGAATTTCTTTCCCTAATTTAATATCTCTTAGATGGAATGATGTAGTGCCTTGTGTAAATAATGCCTCTAACATTGGCTTTTATTCCTTAGCATTTATGGGCTGTTCCCTTTGGAGTTGGATCACTGTGTATCCCTGTTCAAGCCAAGTTTGCAATCTTCCCTATTTGCTTTATATTCATTCGTGCTTCTGACTGGACTGCTCCCATCCACCAAAATATGAGTTTAACTAGGCAAGCTTAAGTGTAACAGCACCTAAATCTTACAATCATGGAACAGTCTTTGCACAGACTTCACAGAATGTAGCAAATTGAAATAGTGGTTTCAATTTGAGCACATAAATATTTTCTCTTTTCTGGAATATTTTTGAGGAAAGATAGCACAGAATCATAGAATCATTTAGGATTGAGAAGACCCTTAAGAGTGAGTCCAGCTGTTAACCTAATGCTCCAAAGTTCATCACTAAAACTTGCCCATAAGTTCTACATCTACACATCTTTAATATCTCCAGGGGTGGTGACTCCACCTGTTCTCTTTAAGTGCCTGCTTGTACTTCATGGCAAACTCTAAGAACTAATTTTTAAAAAACCTCAGTTCAAAACATTTTTAAAGGGAGATAGATGAAATACTAACCTTGCATGGCAATGTAGTGTGTAAATTCCTTGATTAACCTTTTCAATTTAGACTCTAAAAGTTCCTAGAGAATGAACTTAAACCTATGGACCGACCACACTAAATTATTGTAACAAAAATTTATTAAAATACAATTTCAGATTTCCCAAATATCTCAGAGTTCTGAGGAAAGTAACGAGAAAGAATGTTTTGCTGTAAAATGAAAGAAGGAGGGAGCACAATAGGAGCAACAATAGAAGTAATGGAAATTATACTACATTTATCTACTATCTATGATTCTGTCATGCCATAGTGATATCACAGAGATCTGTACAGTACTGAAAATCCTTAACATTGATTTTTAACTAGTTTATAGATGTAAAGCAAAGCATACTCATTAGCACAACATTTATATATTTATATAAATGTCTTGCCATTAAACACTGGGGAGGTTTTCATTGATTTCTAGTCTAGCTCTGTAACAGGTGTGATTTATGCCATTACCAGAAAATTAATACATAGGCATAAAGTGAATTTGCACCCTGACTGCATCATCCCTCTTGTTGGCACATAACACTGAAAGACTGGGGGTGTTTTACTCTCCTCTATCAGGCTGCTTACATCACAGTTTGGTAGCTCCTGGGTTTCAACCCTCACTTTTTCCAGCAGGTTTTTTGGACAGTTACAGCCAACTGTAGTCAAACCTTGCTGGACTTCATGTAACGAAGTTGGAAATAAATTGTGATTTTATCTAATCTAACTTCAACGTAAGGAAAAATTGAAGTTTTAAAAGATTGTAATAAAAGCTGCATGAGTGTAAGCGTGTCTAACATTTTTACTAGGACAAAACCTTAAAGGACATCTGTCATGACAGGGAATATTGAAACATTGACTATATATATCTATCAAATGAATGTATGATTAGACTTTGGCAGGATGGGAATTGATCATTTGTTCTTAGAAATTCATTTCACATCACAGGGTTTTATTTGTTTCTACTTCACACATCACTAGAATTTATTTTTTAAACATGTTGGTTAAAGGTGCAAGGGCAGGAAAATAATTTGTTTAAATACACATGTTCTGTTCTTTGGAGAGCTCAGAGGAATAGTAATATAGCAAAATATGTATAAATTAGAATTTCCATACCTAAATTATTGGGAGCAGAGCACTGCGTAAGGGACATGCCCAATTGCTATCCCCAATACTTTTTATTTATTATACAATCCAGTGGATTTCACTGCATGAAAATTCTAAAGATTATATTATGTTTGTCTCACAGCTCCAGCACAGAACAAACAGGATATTTTTTTTATGCCAAATTCTCCTACAAGAACAAGTGTTTCTTTAGTAGTTAAGTTTTCTAAAAGCACAGGGATTTCTTTAAAAATCTACTGTTAAGTAGAAGTAAGAGCTGGAGTCCCTGATTCCTGGCCTTTGGTGGACCCTCTAGACTTGTCTGCAGAGGTCTTTCCACAGAGAATTCTTTTTATGGGTTCTGTTTTCTGAATTCCTGTGCTGTAGTAGTTACATTCAGAAAATGACTAATGGTTTAATTATGCAAAAAAAAAAAAATGTTTTTCATAACTCCTCCCACTGAGCATTCTCTCTCACATAGAAGATATTGCATAAGAAGGAGCTGATAAATACTGTGACTTAGTCTTTGAGATTATATGTATCATTTAATTTAAATTAATTAGGCATGAATATTCAATTAACTCTGAAATAACCCTGTCCAATAGCTTAAATTCTTTCTTTCTAAGAGAGACATCTGAAACATGTCACTGAGTGAATGGATTTATTGGGAGCTCACAGCTATCTCTGTGGTAGGGCGTGATTATTTATATAAACAATATATGAATGATCAGAAATAACAAGAACAGCAAAAAGGTGCTGGTTTTAATTTCTGATAATAACATAGAATTGTATTAAACCCTACTTTATATTTTTTACATGCAGGCCATGCATTTACTTCATACTGAAAATATCAGGTCTATGGATGATAGAGTGATCAGTGTAATTCCTTCCCTCTTTCAAAACAGATTTTTCATCTCTGTTTTTAACTGAAAAAATCAGTATATTTTATGTAACGTTTGGGGACTTAGCTACTTCTTCAAGTGTTCAGCAATTGTAGTTTTTGTACCATTATAATTCAGCATTGTGTTACATCTCTCTCTTTCATTGAAAAAGCTTTCAAAGCCATTATAAGACATCTTCACATCAATGATAATTCATTTTTGTAATTTTGAAAATTAGATTACTACGTAATGGAGGGCTGCTAATATGTACCTTGGAACATTTCACTTTATTCATGATTTTTGATGTCTTGTTTTCTTACTCTTTGGATTCAGCTCCTCTTTCACTCAGGTATTTTGGTGTCCCTAAGCCTTTCTGGGCCACAGCTGGAGAAGGTGGTGATTGACAGGACCCTGGTGGGGAAGCTCATCTCCGACACCATCAGTGATGGTAATTACACCCATGTGCAAATCAATTGCCTGCATTAACAATAGAGTAGAGAAACAGTATGTCAACAGGTAGACTAATTATTGCCACTGGGGACTTGCAAACACAACAAGTAATTGCATGTAATGCTATAGTTACAACCCTCAGGACTAAGAGCACTTTAAGAATAATATTTAACATCAAAGTTTTCAGGCTTGTCAAATGCTGCATGGGTTTCTAAAATCCTGTTTCTTACACACTGTAATCACTGTGAGCATGCCATTTGAACTTGTCATGTTTATTTTGTAAGTGGGAAAATGGGACAGAACCAAACATTAGCCAATTGAATAATTGCATGGGGTAGTTATTATTAAAGTTGTTATTAAAAAAGTCTGGATAACATTAGTTACATGGAGGTGTTCTGATTTAGTTTCTTGACACCCAGAATTTCCCTACTGTTATTAACTAGTGACTGCTAAAAATTAAGTTTTCATTTAATGCAGAAGAAAACTTACAAAAATGTCTCTGGTTTCCACAGCTTTATGATATGACTCATAGCATTGAGAAATCAACTGGTATCTTGGCTTCTGCAGAAGCAGGAGTATGAAATTTTGGTGTGAGCCATATTACATGTGCACTACCTTCCAAATTTTTAAGAGTAAGCCCACATTACATCCTTCTAGTAAGAACATGCATTTAGTTCAGGTTTGATCTCTAATGATTTAATTTTCTCTCTACCCAGGCATCTATTGAATATTGGCCTAGGTTTTTAGAAACTCCAATACTGTGTCTCACTGATCTTTTCTTATCAATATATGGTATTTTAGTCTTGAAAATTAATATTAATTTTCTACAGACATTTAACTATGTCTGTAGAATCTTTATTTATTAAAAAAATTTAACCTGGACTTCATTTTTATGAACTAATTACACAGAGCGAATAGAACACATTTACTATCTTGTCTTCTTTTTTTCACTCTCCACCTTAATTACTGGATTGCTAGTTACATCTGTGATTTTTTGCGCTCTGCTTCTGAGGGGAGGATTTCCTACTTTCATGTGACAAAAAGTAGGAAAGCATAGAACCTAAGGTTATTCCTAAATTGAAGTAGTTTGTGGAAGTTATTTGGAATACTTTGTCTTTAAAAAAACAATAAAAAATAATGTTGGTCATGCCTTACTTTGGCTTAATATGTCATAGAAATATTTGTTCAGAAAATGCTGCTAACTAAATGGGCTTACAACTAAAACAACAATAAAGCAAGAAATATGTTTTACTACATTTGGACAACTGTATTTATTATATAAATAACATTATATAATGCTTTGTCTTCGTTTTCACATATTCAGGATTTTCTTAAACCTCCATGTTTGCTAACAGACAAGTCTGTAGGTGAAATAAAACTGCCTCTGTTCAGTAAAAGCAAACCACTCAATAACTTTAATTGCAATGCAGTTTTTTATTTTCATGAACAATAAAAGAAGATGCTTTTGTTACCCACACAAATAGTGCTCAAAATACAAATTTTTATACTGAACCATCCTTGCATGGGAAACATGAGATAATGTTGTCCTAGAGGAAATTAATTTTAATTCAAAGAAACAGCACATCTTTCCAAATCTGGCTCCACATTATGGTTGTGATTATAAAGCTGGCTAAGAGAAATTCTACATTTAGCACAAGAGGCCTATATAAAAATAATAGTTCTTTCTTCAGCAATTGTGTATATGTGGAAATGGATAAGGGTTACAATCTGCCAGAATTACTTATGAAATTTTGTCATTCTCATTTGGAGTAGCATGTCCTCTTAACATTTGGAATAAAGGTCAGATTGTGTGCAAAAAATACAGAATTACTACTGTTTTAATATTCCTCCTGCATCTGAGAAAGTGCTCCTGATTCTTACTATTTATAGGCAAAATTTCATCAGCATCTGAGGTGTGCTGCAGCTCGTCTTTAATGCAAACTGTGTCTGTGAGGACATCAAAATGTTTTAACTGTGTGCATGCATATTGAGGATACCATATTCAGTGGTTTTCAATTTTCATGTGTTTGCAGGATCTCAGTTATAGCTCCTGAATCACCTTATCAGATGCTTTATCACCTTTTTTTTTTCCCCAAAATGTTAGTGTTAATGTTACATTTCAAAGGCAATTATTTGGCTCTAAACTCTGCCCTTTAGCATTTGCATACCAGATACTTCAGAGTTGTGCCAGGACATGACTGTTGGAAAATGCAAGTGGTTATAAATCAGAATAAAGAAAAGCAAAGCTGAGTAGCTAGTTTTCCATGCCTCTATGTAAGACTAAACTGTCAATCTACTTAAGGATATGTAAAATTTAGATTTAAGAAACTCTGATATAAGTAATAAATTTTTTTTTTTTTTTAGTTTCTTTTTCAGAGGTTGTTCCAGAGTGTTGTTTGTTTGTTTCTAAATCTGGTTCCACTTTAACTGGCATTTTCCTTTTAGGAGAGATTTTTGAGTTTACAGTCTGAGCACAGCTTCATTTTAAATCATGAGTGATCTGGTACTACTTACCCCAGTGACTCATTTCACACTCACACATCTCTTCAGCTGTGGGTGCTGCTTGAATAACTGGGTAACTCTTGGGAAAAATTCTCAATACAATTTTCTGAGTAATTTTCATTGACAGATTGATCACTTTTATATTGAACTAATTTGGTCTAGTACCCCCTTATGGTAACAGTGGGGATTCCATGAAGCTTTTCCAGACTCTAAGGGAGTCTCTTCCATCTTGATTACTTGTATTGTTTGGGTACCCCCATGTGAAGCTTTCAGTGAATTCATGACCCCTCTAAAGCCTTGTCCTGCATGTAACAGCCTCCTTGGTGTCTTCAGCAGCACCAGGAACCTTGCAATGTCAAAATACCAGATACACCTTGAGTACTCGTTTGCATTAATCACCCTTAACACTAAGCTAAACAACATGAGGTCCATTTGCAAAACACTGGTGGATGCAACCATAAGAAAAAAAATAAACTGAAAGCTGAATGCTGAGATGACAATTAATGTGGAAGAGCATAAAATGTATATTTGAATGTAGTGGCATTTTGATATGAGATAATTTATTCAGGTGTATGTAATCAGAGTATTCCTTAGGCTTTATTTCTCATTTCCAAGAAGGTCCTGATAGGATGACACATTGATATGTTTTAGGACATTACAGGGCTTTCAGTACAATATTTAAGGCACTGTCTTGAAAAAAATTGCTTTTTGCAGCATCTCAGTGGAGTGTTCACTACTTTGTTTTGTTCCTAGAGATAGGTATTAGAGCACTGACAATTTTTATTTGGGTTTTTTTTTCAGCTGTTCTTACAGACAATTTCATCATCTTGTCATTTGAGGACCATAACCAACTCTGCTTTATTCAGTTTACAAAGACAATGGATTCTCCCGATGTAAACAAAAGACTGGAAAAACTCTCTTGTTTGGACTCTAAGGTATAGCTGCCAATGGTGACTGCAAACATTGCAGGAACTATACATCATGTATCACTGGTATTCACTGATATTGTATAGCCACATAAATTGCAAACCTTAATATAATTGACCAGAGCAGCTCAAACTCTAAAAATGGCGGTTACTGAAAAGTCAAAAAACATTAGAATGACATTCAGAGTTAAAGAGTTAAAATACTGTGCCAAGGGATCCAGATTTCTACTGTGTTTATTTTCAGGCTCAGACACACATTTGAGTTACCCCTGCTTGACAGATTACCTTGTGTCCATTGAGCAGCAGTAAGTGACCCTTGGCACATTCTTGGCATCTAACAAGCATGAAGCAAAGTCTGTAATGGTAAACCTCAGTGTAAAAGATTTAAGTTAATGTGTTTTACCTCTTGTGTGTTGTGGGCTGACAACACACATGGTCACTTACTGTGTCTCAGCTGATAGACACAAACACATAAAGCTCTGATAATTCAGTCATCTGTCTGAGGTCCATCTGACTTCTGTAATTCTTTGCAGAAATCCTTATTTCCCCACTATTTACAATAATGGTGTTGTTGGGAGAGTTGCTTTTAGAATTAAGCCACTGAGTAAGGAATCAAGATATGGAAGCTGAGCTTCTCACCACTGGCCAGCTATGTGCGTGACCATATGCAAGTGACTTGGTGCCTCAGTGTCTCAATTTACTAGTTACACAGTGAAGATTGAAATACTTAATTTTTGCAGCCCTTTTTGTGGGGGTGTGTCTTCACTACAGTGACAGCAGCAGTGGAAAGGTAGTCTAGAGAGAGCTGAGCTGAGCTTTAAACTGTCTGAGCTTTACCCAGTCTGGAGGTCAGTGGAAACCAGCTCATCTCAAGATGAATGACATTGTGTTGTGGATGGATTGGGCTGGGTAGACATAACTTATTTCAACCATAAGCACTTTGGCATCAGGACACCACTTCCTTAGGTGGAAGTGCTTGGTGCTACAGCAATATGAAAAAATAATCAGCCAAGGCAATTAACTTTGAACAGTTGAAGTAGGGAAGGGGCTGCATCCAGTTCACTGCAAGAATGAAGAAGGGTCAAGCCTTTTCCCAAGAAACACAGAAAGATGTTGTGAGCAAAAGAGAGAGATTGTATTTATTGCAGAGTGGATAAGCATTAAAGAAAACAATCTTGTTCTAGCAAATATTTTCCCCTTGACAACCCCTCAGTAATTTACTTCCTCACATAAGGGAGCTTGCATCTGCAAGGCAAGCTCTTTAAGGTTATGTTTAATTTAAGTTTTGCCATAATGTGTTTTAACTTGCTTGGTAGAAATACTTTCTGCTAGGATTAATATCTAATACATTTTCCAGGCTGTTTCAGTTCAGGGCCTCTTTTCAGCAATGGCTTGTGTTTGCAAGATTGATCCAACCTCTATAACGTGGATTTGAGACAGTTCACTGTTCACTGGGAACTGAGCTGATACATACTTTACTTTAAAATGCTGTGCCTTGTGCCTGGCCTGTGGTGTTCATTGAGGCTGTGCTTTGGGAGTGAGCCTGGTGTGTGGTGGGGCTTTTTTCTTAATAGCACAAAAGTTTAACGAAGAAGCTGTGGTGAACTGCCTTTGTCATTGAAGTGTGAGGGCCACAGCTCCTGATTTAATGTTTAGAAAAACCAGAAGTATCTGCTACACTCCTTAATAGGGTTGTTAAGTTCAGTTCTTTGCTGACACAGCTGAGCTTCTCAAAACACCTCCATGCTCAACATTAACTTTGCTTTCTCTTAAAATCAGTGGGAATCACTGTGGAACATTTCTCCACCAGCCAAAAAAAATGCATTTGCATTTTTTAATTGAATGTTCTTTGTGTGAGGCTTGCTAGTTAGGCAGCTAAATATAATTTTTATTATCTTCAGAATTGCACCAGTGTGAGACTGCAGAAAATATTATTCACTTCTGCAATAATATTGTGTCAGCTCTCTGCATTGATTTACTGTTCTTCATGGCTGATTTTGGTCAAACTTCAAAAGCTGGAAGATCATAGACATAGAGTGGTGTCACTCACAGTAGAAAAATAAGGTGGTCCTGAATTGCAACTGTGCAAACTTGTAATCATTTGTAATAATATGTAACAATTACAAATGTTCTGGGTTTAGGGGAAAAAAGGGTTCTTTAGAGTTGGGGTTTTGTTGGAGAGAAATTGAATGAAAGAGGTAGCATGGGCTGTTATAGAACTAACACAGGATTAAAATCTGGAGCCAAGATTCAGGAAATTTGATTGTAATCTTCATTTCTGCCTCTGACTTTTGGCATGGTCTTGAGAAATGTAGTATTTGGGTTTACAGTCCCATTTCTGTACAATGAGAAAAGTGTTTGTAATGATATAATTACATTTCTGTCATATTATCATTGTAATGATAAGCAACCTCACATTGTTCAGTGTCCAGGCTCATGGTGGGCAAAATTGGCAGCAGTGCTGGACTGCCAGAGTTCTGTGAATAATAAGAACAAGTCAACCATGCTTTCCTCCTCAAAGCTTGATATTTATCCAAAAGTTGGGTTTTTTATGCAATGTATACCTAAATTAATGAATTAATCTCCCTATGCTTTTCCTTTCTAATTGATTCCACCTTGAATTTTATTTGCACTTTGAAACAATAAAGGAAGACTTACTGCATGAATCACTACAGTCTCGAAGACCAGCAAAATATAATACCAACTATTATTATTTACCTTTTCACAGTGACATGGGTTCATGTTTGAGAGTGACATGTCTAATGCAAGACATAAAGGTCAACAAAGATTTGTGGCTGTTATGACATGTGTGGTTGTTATGAACAGTTAACACTACAATACAGGACGAATCGATACTTCTGGAAGTATTTGTGCTTTTCCAGCCTAATTGTGTTGTCAGCAAATTAGCTATTCTAATTCAAGTAGCAGCTACCTCCTAACTATTGTGTACAGTTTATCTTTACCCATGAAAATATTTTGACCAGTAAAACACAGGATATTCTAAAAATATTGATGTTTTTCAAGTTTTTCCTATCTGTTTTTGTTTAATCCATTTCAATTTACTGAAGGAGACAGAACAAGGAGTTAAATGTTTACCATGAGAGAACAACATTGGTAATTACTTTGATTTCAGTTCCTTTTTATGTGTATTCATGGGATGAAGAGGTCAATAATATTATGACCATGCAAATAGAAAAGGGTTCTTTTTGACCATATAAAAAACAGCAAAGGATTATTAAAGCATTAACCTTGATTTTAATGGCCTTGGTTGAGAGCTGAGATCACAATTTGGATGAGCCTGATTATTTACTAAATACAATACATAAATGCAACGGGTTCTTAACACCCATTGCACTCTGGCATTATCGCATTACTGCCAGCCTTTGTTGCCTTGCAGACAGGAATATGAAAGCAATCTGTCATGTAGTGAGACTGGCTCCAGAAGCATTTCTCTGATAAGAAGACCCCCTGCCCTTTGCTAGTGTCTGGTCCAGTAGGCTTAGCCATGCGCTTAATCCCCAGAAAGTGGTTCGATTATTGCTGACCAGCAATGGCAAGATAGTTTTTTTTTCCCCTAGCTATCAACCTTCCATTAATTCCTTAAGCAGAAATGCGGTGCAATCTATATTTCCTTGGCATGTGTCACCCAGATGGTGCACTGCTCATGTTTTCAAATAACCATGCTCCAAATAACAGAGTTTGAATAATAAATTCCACAAATCCTTCCTGAGAAAGAGGCACAATTCTCAAGAGCTGCATAAACTTTACGCATGATGCTGTAGCTCATCCACATTATGCAGAAAAGTATATGTTCTTTTGCAAAGCGGATGTTTGTGTTTCCATTCCTTAATTTGGGGAGGAAGAAGAAAGATATATGTTTGCTCAAATACTGTAGAATATATTTAATATTTGATTATGTCTTAAACACTAGCCTTAGCTCCGTGGTCAGCTTTGCAGAACTTGTCATTTAATATGGCTAAGCTTAAATCCTGTGTGGAGGTCGATGCTGTCAAGCAACCATGACTGTACATTTTGGTATTGATTGGAGTCATTGCAGTAAATTCCTTCTTAACTCATATTCCTTTCCATCCCAATCCCCTCCCCACAGATAAAAGAGTGAGCATGTCTTTCTGTCTGAGGAGATATTTTTCACGTTTACAGACAGCCTCTATGAAGATATATGTACGCAAAGCTCTGTGTATATATACATTCTTTCTCACACATCCAAAGTAAATGCTCCCATTTGCTCCTACCATGCTATTTTATCACTTCCAATATTTCCTGCATTTTTTTCTTCCCTCAGATCTCTTATGTTGATATACTTGGACCAGAAGGTAGAAGGATGAAACGTCACCTGGCAATAAACTGTATGCAAGATCTGGTCATTTGCTGGTGGTCAGCAACCAGTGACGGAGCATGGCCTTGGTCTCCTATTTCCTGTCAGAGGGACAGAGCCAACCTATTGCTATTAGGCTGTGCACATGGCAAATTGGAGGTAAAGTGATGAACTGTCTTGTTACATGATTTTTTTGAATTTGCTAAAGAAAGAGCTATTCAACTTAAATGCATATTTGAGTAGATATAAAGAACAGATATGATAAAAACATAAGACAGGAAGATCAGCCATTCTAATAGTAAAAACAAAACAAAGGTTTGTTACTTAACAGAAAAGCACCTTATTTACTTTGTTTACTATTTTCACATCAAAACTGTCAACCTGAGAAATGTAGCCAGGAAATTAGGTCTTTATCCTGAAATAGTTTTGGTGCTGCTGAAACTGAAAATAGAAGTGTCAGAGTTCCACTAGAAAACTCTAATATGAATTAGCAATTGTAACTGTTGCATGTATGTCTGTTGCAATTCTTTTACGTTGTTTGCAATGCTAACTGCTAGACAATTTGTATCTCTTTTAAATGTTTTTCATAAAATATTAACTATGCCCAGATGGTGATTAAATTTTTGTTACGAGTATTGGTCAAATTAGGGACTGATATTTTTCTCACAGGAAAAGTTAAAACACACCATCTACAGGTGGGAATGTGAGCTATGAGTTAGGACAAAGCTAAAAGTTGACCCCCTCCTGACACCTGCTTAGCTTACATTTATAGGTAGATGTTTTCATTTCAATTATTTAATTTTTATTTCTTCTGTTTAAGAATATTTGAATCCAATTTGTTTTGTTAGCTTCATTTTAATATTTCTACCTATCTGGGCATACTCTGGAAGATCTGGAGCCTGAATTTAAAATATAAAAGCTTTTCTGAACAAACATCTTGTATAGATGCTTCTGTATTTGGAATTTTATTTTCAGTTTTTCTTTACCCACTTCTAGTATGGAATAAAAAGGCACTGACTGTGAGAGAAGAGCACAAACTCAAGGATCGGTGTGGAATAGTTGTTCTGGATTAGTTATTGCAGACTTTTTCCCTGTAGGGAAAACCCCTAAGTAACACTTAAGAATAAGCTACTTTCACAAACAGCATCCTCCTCTCTTTAATTAGGGAAGATGTAAATGTTTTAATGTCTTGAAACTATTACTTTGATAGCTAATATTAATTTGAGATTCTTTTCCCTTGGGATTTTCTACCTATTGAAAGTGAAAAGGTAGCTGAGACAGCTTTTCTTTTCTTATTTCTGTCATTAGTCACTGTAGAATTGAAGTTTAAATTACCTCCAGCTCTGCCTTCTTTACTTCTTTTCAATTGACCTCTCTCCACTTGCGGTCATCTTTGACTCATCTCTCTCCTCTGCCTGATCTACACTTGCAGTTCTCCATTCCCCCTGCAGCTATGCCAAATCACATAGAAAAATTTACTCTGGGAGCTAAAATGTGAGGCTGTTCTTTGTAAGCTTTTCCAGCCCTGTGCCAGTTATTATGAAACTTCATCCTACTAACATTTCAGAGCTTATTTTTTTACCATGACTTCTATATGTCCAGGCCTGGAGAGCAACATTCCTGTGCCTATTTTATTCCTTCCCATGTCTTCCAGAAATCTGCCTATTGCCACCATAGCAGTTTGCAGTCTCTGTTTCCTGAGATGATTTTTAGAGACTCTTTTCTTTTAAGAAATTAACAGAAACCACCCTATCAGTTTAAAGCTCTCTGTGTTTCATTTAATATGTTTTAGGGAGATTTCCAAATCACAGCATTCCTCTGCATCTTTCAATACACCTTGTTTTATCCTATTCATTTCTGGTTTAAACTCTGGTATAGTCTCAAGCACATCACTGGTGCTTTACACAATAGTGAAAATAAACATTCTCTGAGGCTCTAGGCTTAGAGTCAAAATAATTTTAATTTGTCCATATTGTAACAGAAATATAAGAAACTTCTTTTTAAAAGAAGCACTGCCATATTTGACTATTCAGTTGCTTTCCCTTTTCTGATTCTTTGCCTGTACTTTTCTGTTTTAATTCTTAGATCTTCAGATGAAATTTATTTTCCTGTATTTATTAATAAAATACCAAGCACTATGCCAGGACAATGGAAAGCTAAGTCATATATGAGTGACAAACTGTCTTGCTGTTTTTCAGTTAGACTGTTCCGTGTATTCAGCTCTTGGATGCTCAGGAAGGCTCAGATCACTCTGCCTTTACACTCAGCCTGTATGTCCATGAGGAGTCACCCATGGTGCTGTTTGATGGAGGTCCTTTGTTTGATTTCTATAGAGTTCCTTATGGGCAGGTATTAAATTCCTGTGCATGAATGGGAGAATATCATAACTCAGAAGCTCTAGAATTAGTATCAGCCTCCAGTCTTCATTTAACTGAGGTGCATTTTTCCCCTACAGTCTTGAAGGGAAACTTTAACTTAACACCTTTAACTTCTGAAGGACATTTGATAGCTTATATGTGAAAAAAATCATAGTTAATATTTTCAGACACCTTGTAAACAGTTACTCTCTAGGTCAGATACCATAAAAAGACAGTGGTTCTGAAATCATTATTTGCCTCTCATTGCCTCTAATTCCTTGCAATTTCTAGTATTCCTCAGGTATAGATTTGAAATAAAAACTGGACATGCCATTGTTATTCATGAAAATAAATCCATATTTATCATGTTTGACCAGTAATATTAATTTACTCCTGGTGAAAGATTACTGTCAATACAAGAAGAATTAAAAGTGTGAACTTACTCAGTTTAGAGCATTTATCAAAATGTGGTAAAGTAATACCACCAACATTTTACTTGAAAATAGTAGCATCAGCTGGATAAAATACCATTATTATCTAGAATTAGGAGAAAAACAGAAATTGCTGAACAACAAGACCATAAAGAGCTGTTTGGCATGTTGGGTTTATGAAACCAAGCCCAAGGAAATGAATGAGTGCTCACCACAGCCATCACCTCAGTGCTGACTTACAGAAACCACAAAACAACCTGCCAGCTGCTGCCACTCCTGCTGCTGGGGCAGAGCAAAGGCAAATGGGTGCTTACATGGTACTGCTTCCTGCCTGGAAGAATTTTCTGAGTGATCCTGGCTGCCCACCTTGCTTTAAGGAGACTGCTTATTAGGATGAGGACAGGAATAGCTCTGGGATGAGACAGCTCAAGCCTTCACCATGATCATCACCTGTAACTACACGTTCTGTGTTGGGATGATTCACACTGCATGAGGAGTGTTTGGGGCATTGTGTACTTCAGCAGCTGCTCAATTCAGGGAAGGAAATACATTTTACTTTTTAAACATATTAGAAATTTGATTTTAATTTTGCCACGGGGCTTTTTAATTTTAGCATTTACTACTGTTAAGGCTACAGGTAACCACTATTCCTCTACAAACAGAAATAACTTTTTCCTCACAAATCTTGACTTATTTTACTCTTTTTTTTTTTTTCTGAGATCAGTGTTTATTGTGTTGAATGCTGTAAGATTTGGTGAAGAATTGTCCCTTGAAGAAGTCATGGTGCTTTTCTCTGTAGCATGTGACCTTGCTTCGGTGTGCAATGCATGTTGCTGCAGGAGGGTTTGTCTGTTGGGCCTTTGTCTGCTTTCCTTTGTGCATGGGCTTCTTCCAGTAAACTCATCCATTCTCTAATTTATTTATTTTAGTATTGGAGGTTTGTTTGGTTTATTTTATTTGGGGTTTGTTGGATTTTTTTAACCTTAAAGTACCAACGATCAAAGAATGTTATTTAAATTGTATCCCTGTGGAGATAATGCTGGCGTTTTGATTTCAAAACCAGAAGAGGAATCTTCCAGAAATTATTTCAGACAATTTGTTATGAATGAATAGGATCTGATGTGAAATCATCTTTGGATTAAATGCTTTGGGAGAAAGTTGTGTTAAAATCAACATGAATTTTATTCTGCAAACACAAATTAACAGGAGGTGCTGATGCCAGGGTGCAGTTACTGTAGCACTTTGCATTTGTCTTCACCATTCTTATTTTCACTCAATTTAGTGCTAGTGGGAATGACTGAAATTATACTTCAATCTTGTGGAAAAAAATAATTTCCCTGAGAGAGAATATTATTTTTCTTTCTCCCAAGAGATAATATTTAATAGTTATTGCTTTCATATTGTGCTTCGGATTTGTGAAATAAGCACAGCAGATCTTTTCTGTGTGAGCTGTCCTACAGTTACTGGAGTGCTCAGAAAAACATCTACCCTGTGTCTGAATGGCTGAAATACCTCTCACACACATACAGCAAAGAATGTGAAATCCTCAGTGTCACATTGGGTTAGAAGATCAATGAATAATACAGGATAAAGATGACAATGATAAAAAATTTTGAAAGAAAATAAGAATAAGTGTTGACTGAAGATCTAAATAATAAGATTGCATGTAGGTCTGTAGATACAATGAAGCTAAATAAGTAACCTGCAGTAGGAGCTTTCATTTTTATTTAGAAATGTTTTAAAATAGGGTGGTTTTTTCCCTTTCAACTTCACTGGGCCATATTTAAAACTATTTTACTCTGATGTGCACCACACTTCCCACTTTACATTTCTAATTAAAATGTTTGTTGCTATTTGGAACCTCACTGTGTGAAATTAAATAAGCACTTTTTTAACATCCATAAAATAAATCAAACATTCTTTTCTCATCTGAAAGACACACAGTTCAGTCACAGCAAGCTTATTTCTCTGTTCCTTTTGTTTTCTTTTTATTCATCTGCCTGGTAAGCCAATTTTCTGCTTAAGAACTACTGGTTAAAACTCTTACTTGTTTTGCTATGTGGACTTTATCCTTTCCAGCACTCTATGCAAAATACTTCAATTTTAAGTGTTCAAAAAATTTCACTGAGAAGAGTGATGTGTGATAGCCCACATAAGCTAGCACTATTATTTCTCTCAAACATAAAATGAAAGAGAGTGTTTCAAATAGCATACCAGGCCTCTTATTTACAAAGACTAACAGATTCCTTTACTTGGATTGTTATGATTCCTGGCTCTAGGATTTGGGAACCTGGCATGGATAGCATCCCTCATCCTGCTGATGAACTGGAGTCCAAGGCAGTACTGCAAGAGAAAAACAATATAAATGTGCAGTAGTGGTGAATGACTGCTACATTAATAAAGGAAATATGTTTAAATTACATGGACAGTATTTAAATGCATGTACTGTATTTTTGTAGCATTCATGTCATAAAACTTTTACATTTTTTAATTAATGTATTTAAAGAAAGTAATTGGTTTTAATTCATGCAAAATATTTCCAGAGACCTTTTCTTGAAATCCAAGGCTAAGTGCTTAGTCCAAGATTTATGGGAAGTGCAGAACATTGAATGGACTATAAACCCTGCCTTGTGATATTACAGCTCTGTTTTTTCGGACCCATTGCCCTGCCCCCTCCTCCACAAATCTGACACTTGTTCTACCCATTTCTGAGGAAACTCCTCCAGCTTTTGCTTTCCCATTCCATAAGCAAATGTTTTGTTAAATGATTTAATGTCACCTTTTAGGGTTCCAGAGAACTGCTTCTCATTAGGAAGGAATCTCAGTGGATTCCTTTAAATGGAAAGCTATAGCACTATATGCACTACATTTACTACCATGTGTCTACTTACCAGATGGGAAAACAATTGACAGAATACCATCTTCTTGGGGGAAAAGAAAAAAAGTTTTGATTTATTAGACTTATCTTTCAAAAGCATTATTAATGTTTCTGTAGTTGAGTGTCTCTCTGCTTTAGTTTTCCAGTTAGTGGCATGAAGATTGAATAATAAACCTAATTTCTGACAGAGAAACCCAAATCTTCCCTCTCAGATGGAAGAGAATATTCATTTTTGCCCTTCAGAATGCTGAATACCAGATACATTCAGGAGAACTGGAAGGCAGAACAAAGAGGTCTCTCGGCTTGGTTCTTTTCCTGCAAGAGGCACATGAGGCCACTGATGCATGGGAAGCAGCTTATCTGTTCCAATTTGGGGAGAAATGTTTCTCTTGTTTTCCATCAGAATTTGAACAGCAGTGTCTAGAAAGGTTTCCTTTAAGCCTTATGTGTTTAAACATTATGCCAAACCTTATGTTTTGAAAGGCAACAGAGAGTTTCTCTGCTTGCAGGAATTTTTTCCTAGTTCAGAATTGTGTTATATACAGCAACAGACCTACCGTAGACTTCATTTCAAGGATTTGCTCTCAAAACTATGTGAAGCTAGGAAGCTTCTCAGCTCAAGACTCAATAAATTAATCTTCCAAAATGGAAGATTTTACTTCCGTTGAAATTCTAGGTAGTGATCATCATTTTGTCTGACTTTTGCTCTAAGAAGGCAGGAGAAAATGATGAATTTGTTGCAGTTTACTTGCTGACTCTCAAACAATCATATGGCAACATTTCTTTTTCTGTGTCTGTTTCCATTGCTGGTTTCCGCCAGTCACTCCTATGGGTTTCAGGCTCTCATCTCTCATAGGCCTGATTATTTTGTGGATCTTCATTACTTTCTTGGAGCTTTTGAAGTGTTGTCCAGAGAAAAATACTGGTTTGGGGTCAAAATATATAGCAGAATAATGCAGTGCATTGAAACTTCCCACAGGAAGACAGAAAAATGAGTCCAAGAAAGCCTCAAGGCTCATTTCCCTGAAGTTATGGAAGCTTTGAAGACTTGCTTGGGCAAGATTTCTCTTTCACACATTTGAAAGAAGCTGCCTGAGTCTCTATACATACTCCTGGGGAAAGCTGCAGAACAAACAGTAACACTTCACTTTGTCTTTATTTGGGGTTAGAGAACTCTGTGGTCACAGCAATCCTTTGTCCACAAATAACCTCTTTTAGGAGTTTCCTTGTCATGCAATTTAACACCATAATAAACACACTTCAGCAGTTCTAACATCTGCACAGTTGCCACTGCAAGGTTTTGTGGGCATAAAATAAATGACTTGTTGCAGAGGCTAAGCCATTGGTGAGGGAATGGTTGAGGTGAGAAAGTGTTTTTCAGACTAGAAAAGTAATGTAATCTTTTATTTCCTCTTTGACACGTATTTTCATGGATGTCTGTTGAGATTGGTTGGTGTGGTTTTCACAGGTTAAATGCATTGCCTTCTGCATTGTGCTTTTGCATTAAGTCTTTGCATGTCCCTAGCTACTCATCTAAAAGTAGCAAAGATTTTTGTATTAACTATCATCTCGTTTCCAGTCAGAGCATTGCAATAATCCTTTTTTTCTTTCTTTTGAATGAGAAGCCCTTTTGCAGACAAAATAAGTAAACTGTCAGAACAAAAGATCCTAATCAGTCTGATCAAAGTCCCAAAAAGCTTGTTTATAAATTTATCGGTTACTTTAGAAGTAATGGATAATATGCCAAAAAAAATCTGAATTTCTTATTCTCCTTTACAGGATGAAAGGCTAAATTGCATATTCAGTTGGTCTTGTGATCTGTGGAAATCAAATTTAAATTGCTCTAACATTATGTGTGCCTTTCTGTTTTCACCCTGAAATGTCTAGATTTCCTTCCTCATCCTCTCTCTACCTTTTAATCACATTTTTTACTCCTTTCTGTGCTTTCATACCACATGGACTCAAGGGGCTTCCAAAAGTTGTGGCAGGTTAGCAGCTTTAATTTACAAAGTGGAGATTGCTGTGGGTATACATGAGAGCAGGGTTCGGCTCAGGTTCACATGTTCTTTTCACTCTTTATTTCTGCATGAACAAACACAGGCAAGTTTCTGACTGGCTTCCACTACTCTCATTCTTCTAGAGCCACAGGTTCTCTCTATTTTTTGTGAAATAGCTTTTCATAAGCTCATCTGTAACTTAATTACAGCTGTTGTTTCTCTCATGGTTTCCCTGCTCAAATCCTGTACAACACCTCTCATTCAAACCTGTTTATCATAGTACATGAACCTTCACTGGTCTCCACTGCTGCTTCCACCTCTTAAGGGTACTTCCCATGTTTCCACTCCAGATTCTTGCTCTTTCCCAGCTGCTTTTTATCACATTCTGCCTTTGTGTTCTTCTTCCCATTCATTTAACTTTCAAGTACTCTGTAATGGTCCCCACTTTTCTGCTATCACAAATTCATCATTTCTGCATCTATAACTGTATGGCACCCAAGAACATCTACCACCTACTCATCTGGCATTGTATAGTAGGTGCTGTTTTAACATGCACTACCACTTCAGAGTAATACCTTCTGTTACCATGGCCCAAAGCAAATGATCAAAAATCGTCTGTGCCTGATGCTAAGAGTAATGTACTATAGATTTTCCCCAGAATTTTAGGACTTTTTACCTCAGGCCACTTGTGAATAATTATTCTTTTACATCAGTCCTTTCTTCTTGTACCATCACTGACAATCCCCTCTTTTATCTTCAGTTCTGCTAAATTGTTAATAGGTCCAGACAAACAAATATGGCTCAAACTCTATTGCAGAGTTTTTTTAATCAAATGAATTAATCTTTTAAATGTTAAAAGAGTAGATTTCAGAGCTCCATTTCAAGAATGCTTACTTATGACTGACCCACAGGAAAGCTCATTTGCAACAGTCTATTTTCAAGAGTAAAGGGCCACAAATGAGTACTGAAAGGCTTTGGATTTTTGCCAGGTGCTGAGTTACGTGCGCACGGAGTGGGAGCCCCTGGATGCCAGGTTCAGCTCTGTGCAGCCCCAGCAGGTGCTGACTGTGGAGCGCTCGGTGTCGGCAGCCAAGGAGCCCATGGCCGACAGCTGCGTCTACAAGTGCCTCAGGAACCGAATGCAGTGCGCCGCCGTCACCAGGGTCCCCCTACCCGCCAGGGCCATCAGCTGCTGCAGGGATGTGACAGAAGACAAACTGGTGCTGGGCTGTGAAGACTCCTCAGTTGTTCTGTTCGAAGCCTACAGCCAAGTGACTCTGTTGGCCCAAGCAGAGCTGCTCCCTGCTGTAATAACCTACCACCCTTCCGGAGCCGTGCTGGTGGTTGGCAGCTCTCAAGGGGAGCTGCAGCTTTTTGACACGGCGCTGTCTCCAATTAAAATTCAGCTCTTGGCACAAGACTATTCACCTGAGGCAACTCTGCAATTCAGTAAACACTGTGACGTGCCCACCAGCCTCATCCAGATCCAGTGGGCTGCTCCTCCAGGTGCATTTCCCAGTCCTGACAGCATGGATATTCATGATCTTTTGTTGGTTAGATTTGATGAAGGACCCTTGGGAGTGCTTCACTTTAAACTTGGTAAGTTACTAAGCACATCTGTTTAACCTTGAGCTGTCAAAGAAACATCTGTATCCCACAAGGTTGGGAACACCCTAATTTTAGTTATATGAGACCATGGCCTTTAAAGCAAATTGCTCCAAAGATATCTGATACCAAGGAGTTCTTTAGGTTTCACAATAACTTTATACCTTTTCCTATTCATAGAATAGGGCCCCGACTTCTGTCTGATCAGCATCCCATAATGTTCCTCACTACTCTAAGAAAGCATTACAAATTTTCCTCTGGAAAATTCCTTTAATCTGTAGTATATAATCTTAAGAATTGTATTCATTTTGTAGTAATAACCCTAACAAGTTAAAATAAGCTATATTTAATAATAGAACAGTAATGCTATTTTCTTTACCAAATTTTTTTCTGCATGTGTGATGTATATTGTCCAGTATTCTGTTCTTCCTGGCTTTGGTACAGGAAGTTGCACCTTTTTTTCCTTTGAAGACTTTCCACCGAAGAAGAATGATTTTCATAACCTTCAGAGAAGTTTGGTCTCTCAATTAATTTGCAAAGAGTTGTGAATAAAAGAAGTAATAATGCTAATTTTAGAATTTGTATAGCACTTCTCTTTTTAGGTGTGAAGAGAGTTTAAAAGAGTAAAACCACAACTAACTTCCTTTTACAAGCAGAAAAACAAGAAGCAGCAAAGACAAGCTAAAGGGCTTTCCAAGAGTTACACAGTGGCTGAATTAAGAATAAAACCCCTGCAGTGGCTCATCAGTGAGAACTGTATTCATTTCATTCAAGTCAGTCAAGTTACAGTGGTGCAAGCCCATTGTGAGAGCTAAAAAAACAATCGTGCTTAAACCCTCTGACTCCCAAGCCAGTGTTTCAGCAGGGCAGACAGCCATCCTGGAAAATTTCAGCATTTTGCCCATTGTCTGTCCAAGAAAACCAGATTACTTTTGTAGATCTTTATGAGAGTTTTTAATGATTCTTTTGTATAAAGCTATTGAGATTAGGAAGAAGCCTTTTTTATAAAAAAAACCAAAACCAAACAAATTGCCAAAAGACTCAAAATAACAACCTAGGTGATAGTAAGATTTGAAAATCTATTAATTTATTTACTTAATGAGACATACATGTACTTTTGTGGGGAAGAAACTGTTTAAAATTATCAGTGACGTAAAAATTTGAAAGACTGAATTAAAAAATATTAACCAAGTTTTCCACTGCAAAAAGCTAAATTAATGTAAGAGGATGTTAGTAACAAAAATATGTTAGATTGACTTATAGTTGTGTAGTTTTAAAAGAGCTGATCCAGATTATTGCTGTTATCCAAAAAAAAAAAACCTATTTAAAAAAACACAACTATTTAAAAACTATTTAAAAACCTGTTTACAGGTTATCATTCATTTTGAGGTAATTAGCTGCATTAAGTTCAATGACAGGTTTAATAGTTACAGTGTACCCCAGAACACTAATTATAACAGCTATTTGATGATTTTGTGCATGTTGGCCATTTAAAAGAAAAACTCTCTAAATTATCTCTGTCCTGATTTGGTGGGATGGAGTTGAGCAGGAGGCACTCTACCCACCTCTACCTTGCTTTTCTTCAGTCCTCCCTGGTGAGGTTTTCTCACAACAGCTTTCCAGAATGCACAGCTTTCCCCTTGCTATCTTTAGCACATTTATGTTCTTACCAAGGCAAGCAGGCTCTCAGTACAGGGATTTAGAGGCCTTTCCTGCTAATTGCCAGCTTGTAAACTTAATTGGACTGTCTCCCTGGGCACTGTTCCTAAATCAATTAGGCAGTGAGTTGGCTGTCACCTCTTTTTCCCAAGCAGGTTGCCTGGAAGCGCACCACCCAGGAGAAGTCAAGCATCCAAATGGGAAGATGTTGACCTCTACAGCTGAAAGTTATCACATTTTAAAATTCATTCTGTATAATTACTGTAAAATCTCTTCTAGGAAAAAGGAAAAGCTGTCTCCCTTCTTCCCTCTCTCCCTCTTTGTAGTCCACTGTGCAAAAATATGCTGCTCTCTATTTCATCCTGGTGTTCAGCTTTACACCTCATCTCCTCAGTTTGCCACACTGCCAGGGGAACACTGTGTTGATTAGTAAGTCCCTCTTCCCAGTCCCAGCAGTTTTTAGGTCTCTGCTATTTAAGAAATAATGTAGAACAAATAAATTAATTAATTAAATGCATTAATAAATTATAGCAAAAAATTAGGGGCTCATGACAGCAAGACCCAGACAGGCATTCAGGACTGAAATAAAATCCATGAGTAACACATAGCTTGGAATTGTTTCTCACAGAAGTCTGTTTAGAAACTATGTCAGTGAGAATAGGCAAATATGTTTTTAACTTCCAGCTACATTATGGTTTTAGACAAGTTGTGAATCTCCATTATGCTGTCTATCCAGATTTATTTCAGGAAAAAGTCATATTAAACATGCCCTCAAACACTAATGGCAAATATTTTTGATGTCTAATGCCAAACTCATTTCCAAAAGCGGCTTCTTGTCATTGATGTCAACCCAGATCTTGGATAATGCCAAATGTGGTGCTGGTGCCAGTGGTTTAGCATTGCTGGCCTCTAAAGGCATTTTAAATATAGTATTGTATTTAATTAACATGAAAATAAGTATTTTCATCTTCACTGAGAGGTTCATGTGGAGATTGCCCAGCTGCTGTAATACTTTAAAAACACTAAACATTTAGGAAGAATAAAGTCTGCCATAACTATTAGATGTTAACAACTTAAACATGGCTGTTGCCCAGCATGATGTCCATAGGCTTTAATATATGCAAATATAAAGTGAACTACAATAGAAAACCTTTCTTTAATGATGCTTAAAAAATTAAGTATTTCTCTGTTGCTAAATGTGAGTATGTAAGGTTTTTCCCCAAAAACATCGCTTCTGTATATGCAAGTTCTCTGCAGTTTAATTCTCCTCAAGCTGTATTCAGATGTTTTTCTCCCCTTTTTTTCACCTTGCTTTTTATTTCACATATTCACAAACAGTTATGAAAGTTTTGTGAGGTATGTTTTCTAAATAATGGGTCTGCTCTTCTCTGTTATGAGGCCTTGTTTACCCCAGCCAGTCCTATGGTTTTAATACCAGTATTGAAATTCAGCTTGTTCCCTTTCTCATCAGGATTTTTTCCATGTTTAGTTTCAGCAAACAACATCAGATTATAAATAGAGAATGTTTTTTAAAAAGTAAAAAAAAAACCAACTTAAAAACAATGTTTTTATTTAAAGATAGAGAAACAGTAAATTTATTCTGGTCTTTCTAATATTTGGAGGAGTACTGGTAAAGAGTACTCTATCAGAACAATCCAAAGTGCTAAAATGCTATATGTGGGCAATGTCACATGATCATTTGGTTAGTCAGAGACAACAAATAACATTACTTCCTGCAGCTTTTTAGTCACCTTTTCTCTTTGGAAGCTGAGATCTACAAGTCAAGAAACATCTGTGTGGCAAGCCTTGGTTTCATGTGCAACTGTAATTCAAAGGTCTGTAGTATCAAGATGATGATAACTTCCATGGTATCCCCTCAGAAAAAAAGCTCCACTTAGAGAATATTGCCAAGCTAGAAGGACATTCCAGAGCAGTTGCAATATGGAGAGTAATTGAGTAAGAGTTGCTCTGAGGTTGGAGCTGCTCTACACTTGTCTGCAAAGATACATCTGTGTGAGACAAATGCTGGGGTTTAGTGTTGTCCAGCACTATTTCCCTACAGGGAGGAGATGGTGTGAAAGTTAATTTATTACCTACCTTGCAATAATGATAAACTCCAAATAAAGTTATTCCACCTTGTCTAAACCAAATTTAATTACATAATGTTGTCACCAGTGACTTTTGGCTATATTCATTCAATATCCATGTGTGAAGTTCATTGATGATTTTTATCTGCTGTCCAGCACCCTCAGTCTAAGTATACCAAGATAGTAAGGTGTTATCCCTTATAAAAATTTAATACTGAAACCCATCAACTTAATTTTAAATGACAACAGTTATTTTTAACTGTGCTGAAAAGGAGTCAGCTACTGGTTTACATACTCTGTATAAAAGTATGAACCCATTATCTCTGGTTGTAATATTTCTTGTCAAAGGTGTGCTCACAAGGGGACAACTGGGCCTTGAGGAAATCATCCACCAGTACATTCGTTATGATGAGATTCAGGAGGCAATTAATGTCCTGAGCACCATGAACTGGAACATGATGGGTCAGCGGTGCTTTATCTGCCTGAGTGCCATTTGCAACCACCTCCTTAAACAAAAGCTTACACCAGCCAGAGAAGGTAAGAGACTGTTTATATTTCTAATGGATTTCTGTGTTGGTAATTCATGTGTGGATTATGACTATGTATTTATTGACCGTATAAAGAAGACAGTAGTGAGACTCCAGTGAGTCAGCCAGATTATGGTGCCTCATAATCACATGTCATTGTAGACAAGTAATTTCAATAAAATCTGGACCAATGCATTGACTACATTTTAGTTTGTATCAATAGTGACACTAAAATAATGCACATCATAATACATATATGCTATAGGCATTACTTAATATATATAGCACTAGCATTATGTTCTGTAACTTCATTGCATTCTATGAATTTAGCTTATGCTACAGACAAAGGTTAGTTAATACAGGATTGAAATATTTGTGTTACATTCATGCTGAGACAGCACCAACTTAAGGCGAGATATTTTCCTGAAATGGGGACAAGAGATTTTAGTATGTTTTTTAAGGTACTTTCAAAGGGTCATTCTTTCATTACAAGATGGAAAGGCCTTGAATACACTATCCTCTGCTGCCTCCTTTAGGATTAAAGCATTTGTCCTCACTGTAATCTAGCCCCCTGCAGTAGTAGCTGGGGTCCCTCAGAAGAAATTATGAATTTTAAGTTTAGCCCTGTCTCTGCTAAAGCCTGGTGTGGTGCCTTCCTCTTGATTTGCTATCTTGAAACTCAATAGACTTCAAGATTTGAAGTGCCTTGATTTAGAGAAGGTGTTATCCTCCAGTCTAGCAGGCAGACAGCTGGAGACCAGGCATCTTTTGTGGGAAGAGAGAATACTCAGGATGCTGGTGTGTTTGATGATAGAAAAACTCCAAGGTGTCCTACATTGCTGCCAAACCATCAGCTATCCCATTTTGTGAGATCTGATTAAAAAAAGCCTCTGTGTTGCAAACATATAAACTCTAAATAAAACATGCTTTGAAAAGGACCTGTGAAAAGGGCTGGCTATGATACTCTTCTAAAAAATATGTACATTATAAACAGATGTCTGTGTGTTTCCCCCATGCAGCTCCCTAACATTGTTTACAGAGGAAGGAATTTTATTCCATCCAGGAGTTATTCTATCTAAATCTAACAAATTTGGCATGGTAATTTGTTTTCTTTTTTATTAACAAAACCCAGTGGGACCTTTATTTATACTGATGGGGCAGTTATCTTTGAGATCTTTATCCTGCCTTCAACATCAAGCTGGGCTATTTAATGAATGTATAACTGTGCCAGTAGTCACTCATATTCCATGTCAGTTGAAATATTTCAGAAGTTCAAAACATGCTGTCAAGAAAACAGCAATGGCAAGGGAGTATGGCTTGTTTTTCTATTTTAATCTAAATTGACTGCTGCTTTGAAAGAAAATACCTTTAAAGTTTGACTTATCTTACAATCTAGATTGGAGATAACACAAAACTAATTTACTAACAGTTTGCCTGTGTAACTAACACAGTACTATTGGCACATTTAGTGCTATCAAGCCTAATAAAATCAAATTTTACTATGCTTGGAAGTAAAGAGTAATTGTCACTAAATACAGAAATGCCTAGTTCAAACAAACATTAATAATGGCAAATCAATGAGATTCTGTCTGCCTAATGAGACAATAGGTTATGTTTTGCTAGTAGAGCAACAGAGATTCTGTCTGCCTAATGAGACAATAGGTTATGTTTTGCTAGTAGAGCAACATAAATATACAGCAAATACTTATGTAGCAAATTCTCCCTTTTCTGCCTATAAGGCCTTGTACTACATTGTTGACTCTGCAACAAAAGTCAAAGAGCAAAAATATTGATCATTTCATTTTAGCTAAGTGTATGGAACACATAAGTATACTGTATGTTTACTTCTATTGTTTATAATGTTGTATTAAAAATGTGTAGAAAAATGCCTAAGAGCTTGAGCTGTCGAGTACAGCAGTCAGAAAGTATTTAAAGAAGAGAGAACTTGTGTAACAAAAGGGCTTTATTTTATTGATTAGAAGGGAGGTTATCCTGTTTCCCACCACTACATGCTGTCAAACCCTTAGGGTTTCTAGACCCTTTTATTTAAAATTTTTAAAGAACTGTGGACTGAAGGAGGTTCCTTAGACCTCAAGGCCATCACAAAGAGGGTTCTGTTACCCGCTGACCTAACACAATAATCCCTGAAAAACTGAACTCCCTTGTTGTTTGCCTAAGAGGACAAAGACTATTTGAGCTAATTGAGAGTTGATCTCTACTGGACAATCTTGTTCACACTGTATTAGTCTCATGAGTCACTTTTAGTTGTAGGCTGCTGGTGAGAACTTGATGTGTTATAGACTTCTTTATCCTTTTGATAGCTTTTGTTGCTCAAAGTCATTGTCAGCTGTGCCTGCAAGCCAAAGTTTATATGCACATTTCTGTTTGTACAATCTGTCATATTTTAATTTCATCTGTCCTTCAACAACATCACATTTCATCACTGTTTGATGAATTTGACTGACTGCAAACATGAGCAACCTGTTGTAATTGAAGCTAATTCACTTGTTTCATTGCTGCTGTGTTTGAATTCCACAGCACAGCTTGAGGCAAGCCTTGGAACCTTTTATGCTCCAACAAAACCTCTCTTGGATAGAACTGTGCTGGAGTACAGGGACCCCATCAGCAGATATGCAAGAAGGTTCTTCCACCACCTGCTCAGGTGAGTGACAGTTTCAGCTTCTATCAACTTAAAATTAATTGCATATTTCAATAACTACCTACTTTTATGTGGTTAACGTTTTCTAAGAGGACCACCCCTGAAAAAAATGCATTAGTTGTTAATGTTTGTTTAACTTGCACTTTGTTCCTTTCAAATAGAGTAATGCAGATAAAGTGCTATTCAGAGCTCTTCTGTCATCAATACACTTAAAATGAATCACCCTTTCCCATTTAGCTTGATAGAAAAAAAGATACCCTGCTTCTGAGAGATTAATATTCACCAACTGCTTGCAGATTAGTTATAGAAAGAACTTAGAAACTTGGAGAAAGCAGAGTTTAGAAAGATGCTAGAACACAAAAGCATGCTGCATGGTCCAGGACATTTTTGTCTTCACACGACTGAAATATGAACATTTTGTTAGTCTCACTTTTAAAATTCTCATATGTAAATTCAGCTTCCAGCAATTTTCAATGCCTTTAAAATAAGAGGAAAAAATGCAGTGTTGAATTTGTCTGTGAATAGTATAGAATCATAAAATGGTTTGGGTTGCAAGGGACCATAAAGATCATCTTGTTGCAACCCAGCCACCATGGGCAGGGACACCTTCCACCAGACCAGGTTGTTCCCAGCCCCATCCAACCTGGCTTTGAACATTTCCAGAGATAAGGCATTCACAACTTCTCTGGGCAACCTGTGCCAATGCCTTATCACGTTCCCAGTAAAGAATTTCTTCCATATATCCAAACTAAATTTCCCCGCTTTCACTTTGTAGCCATTACTCCTTGTCCGACCACTGCAGTTCCTGACAGAGTCCCTCTCTGGCTTCCATGTGGGCTCCTTCAGATACTGGCAGGTTGCTATGGGGTCTTCACACAACTTTCCCTTCTCCAGACTGAGCAGCCCCAACTTCCTCACCTTGTCTTCACAAGGAAGCTGCTCTGATATTAGATGAGAAATAATAACAAATTCAGTAAGAATTTATAGTACATTGCTTTTTGTTGTATTTTTTTCAACCCATTATAAATATTGATATGCAGCAGTTCAACCTTTTCACAAATATAGCTGTGATATTCCCTCTGGGAATTATCCAGTGGATAAAATAAGGAGAAATAGCCTTCTGAATAATAAAATGTTTGTAACATCTTGTTACAAACAAGGAGAAGGAGTGTAGATGGACATAGTGCAAAGACTGACAATGCACCCTTTTGCAGTGATTCATCCAGATTGTATATACATTGTCTGCATGGGCAAAGCAAGTTACTTTGATAGCATAGAATGTGCTTTTTTCCAAATCTAGAAGAAAAGTATTCAATATTGTCTTCTACATTTTGAGTCTGAAGAGGATCATCTTCTGGGTGAACAGGTCCATTCCAGTGGAGAAATTATTCCTTGTAGAAGAATGATCCAATATTTGCATAATATGTGCCAGTCTTTCACTGGAGTTTTCTTAACACACATGGCCACAACAGTGGGTACAAACTCTGTTATTGCCTTTCTCCTAGAAACCAGCAGGGAAAATGCTGTTGTGGCATGGCCAACTTGTGGCTGTGGGCCAGTTGCCTGCAGAGGACAGATGCAGGAAAAATGCCTCAGAGATTGCTGAGAGGTGTAACTCTAGTGCTCTTACATCTGCAAGAGAAAGGTGTGTTCCCTCTGACTCAGGCTTTGCTTCCAAGTGCTAGCAGGCATGCAGAGGCATGGGGCCCTGGCTGAGCTGCCAGCCCTTGAGGCTGCAGCTGAAACACTGACTCAATCCTCCTAAAACAAGAACCTTCAGTGTCAGAACACTGCCTGGACAGCGTGGGGCACAACAGGAGGTGTGCACGAGAGTCTCCTCATGTCTTTTACCTCCCACTGTAAAACAGCCCTTGAACAATGTACGGTTGTGGCAGTTTTTGGAACAAATGTGTTATTTTGCTGTTTTCCTCTTTTCAAAGGGATTTGTATTCAACCAAATCAAAGTGATAGGATCATGTGATTGCTGCAGAACAGATGGTAATGCTTAAAGCTTATCTCAGAAGACATAATCTAAGTACAAAATTAAATGTTCAAATATGGGAGATTTATCTGATAGAAAGCAAGGAAATGATGTTCAGAGCTGATCATTATTGCATTAAAGTGGCTGTGCCTTAATTGGTGTTTTTTTCCTTTTAGATGTTTTCTTAAGTGACTAGAGTGATTTAAATGTAGGCCAAGCAGAGAGAACTACAGATTTGTTGGAGAATGGTAAACCATGGTTCTGGGTGAGTGAATGCCAACCAGGCATGATGCAATGTCTAGGAGGATCATAGGGAGGCACAGTGCCCACTGATTCAGACACATGAAAGTTGCAGCTGCTGCTATTACATCTGTCTGTGATAGACTAGCAAGGCAAGGCACTCCTGCCAGCCTGATTTACAGCTGTGGATTCAGAACAGGAGAAAAGTGAGAAGGGAATTAGGCTCCTGCCTTCTTAGGTCACCATGTTATACCCATGAGGACACTGAAAATGGGGAGTTCCTCCCACTACCTGTTTGTCAGGGAAAGCAAGATCAGGTGACATGGAAGGAATACAGAGGTGCTGTTCACCACTGCAGGGATAAAATTTGTATGGCCAAAGCTCAACTGGAGCTGAAGCTGCCCAGGGCTGTGGGAGACCATAAAACCAGGGGTTTTAAAAAAATGCATTAATAACAAAAGTCAGTGCAGTGATAGCATCAGCCTGTTACAGGGTGGGGATGGTCACCTCACAAACAGGGCCATAAAGCAAAGATGTTTAATGCTTTCTTTGTCTCTGTCTTCAATACCAATGATGGGGTAAGGGGCTCCCAGTGCCCCAAACTGAGCCCTGAGGACCATTCCAGTGCTCCAGCTGCACCCCCATGAGGCTGTGGGGCCTGCTGGGATTCATCTGAGAACACTCCAGGAGCTGGCTGATGTCATTGTGAGGCCTGTCTCCATGATTTTTGAATTGGCTTGGGAATCTGGAGAGGCCACAGCTAACCAGAAGCTGGCAAACAGTGTCCCAGTTTTCAAGAAGGATAAGAAGGATGACCCTAGAAACTTCAGGCCTGTGACATTCACTTCAGTGACTGGTAAATTATGGGGAGGATTATTCTGGGAGGTATTGAAAAGCACCTGAGGGACAAAGCACTCCTCGGTCGCAGCCAGCACAGCTTCATGACAGGAGAGTGCTGCTCAAACCTGATTTCCTTTTATGGCAGGGTAACCCACCCAGCTGATCAAGAGAAGCCAGTTATTGTTAATGCTTTTGGATTCCAGTAAAGCTTTTGATACTGTCTCTCATGGGATCCTTCTGGACAAAATGTTCATCCCCCAGCTGGATAAACACATCCTGGGATGGGTGAGCTCACAGCTGGGGCACAAAGGGTTACAGTGAATGGGGTGACATCAGACTGGGGACCTGTCACTACTGGGGTTCTGCAGGGCTCCATCCTTGGCCCTGTGCTCCTCAACATCTCCATAAATGACCTGGACACAGGACTGGAGGGACACTGAGCCAGTTCACAGACAATACACAAGGGAGAGGAGCTGTTGGCTCCCTTCAAGTCAGGGAGATGGTGCAGAGAGGCCTCAACAAATGAGAGGACTGGGCAGTCACCAGCCATATGAAGTTTAACAAGGGCAAGTGGCAAATTCTGCATCTGGGATGGGGCAGCCCTGGATGTACAGACTGGGGAATGAGAGGCTGGAGAGCAGTGCCATGGAAAGGGACCTGGGGATCCTGGTTGATGGAAAGCAGTGCCCTGGCAGACAGAAGGTCATTTGGTTCAGTCCGCCTGGAGAAGAGGAAACCAAGGGAAGACCTCATTGTGGTCAGCATTCTCATGACGGGGAGTGGAGAGTCAGGCACTGATTTCTTCACTCTGGTGACTGAATCTGTGGGAAGGGCCTGAAGCTGTGCTGGGAGAGGGTTAGGTTGAATATTAGGAAGGGGTTTTTCACCCAGAGAGTGCTTTTACACTGGAACAGGAACTCCCCAGGCAGTGGTCACAGCACCAAGCCTGACAGAGCTCAAGGAGTGTTTGGACAGTGCTTGCAGGCACAGGATGTGATTCTTGGAGCTGACCTGTGCAGGGCCAGGAGCTGGACTTTCATGATCCTTGTGGGTCTCTTCTAACTCAGGATATTAGATGTTTCTATGATTCTATTATTTGATTTATTCACTTTTTTACCCTTTTTCATTTAGCACTGAATACTTGCAGACTAATTACAAATAGCTAATGTGTCTCTTCAGAGTGATTTTTTTCATCACAACGGATGTGTCTGTATGACCAAACCAGAAGACTTGGATGCAGAAGCCCAGTAAACTGAGATTGTAAACTTGATGCAGCATTAGAGGACATTTGTTACTCTCTTGTGAGTGTGAGGAGACTAAAGCAAAGTGATCATTTGGTAGCCTAGTGCAGCAAATGGAGGAAGCATAGTGCTTTCTAAACTATGTGCAGTAAAATTGTGGCTGATATTCAAAAAGTATTTCTTGGCACGGAGCAGACCTTTTGCAGTTCATTTGGGCTTCAGAAAGAGCAAACAGCAGATTCACATAAGTTAAACCTAGAAGACAAGGAACTAAGGAGAAGAGCTCAGAGGTCTGGTAGGAAGAGTCAGAGAAGTGGGGTTAGGAGCATGAGCAAAAGACAAAGTGTTGGGGACAAAGGTCTGAAGGCAGGTGTGGGAATGTACAGTGTCCTACAAGAAGGGCAGAATGGCAGCACAGAGCCAAATGGGAGAAGACAGCTTAGGATGTGTGTGGTGGGCTGTGGAGGAGACCAGACATATCAGGGATGGACAGGGAAGGGCAGAGTCTTTCATACAAGATTAAAACATTAAAATGCTTAAATATTTCAAGATCTAAATCTGAAAAATGTTCATATAAACAAAAGGTTTCACCCCAGTCTTCAGCTTTCCTTTGAATACCCCACCAATCTGCCTTAAGCCTTTTTAGAAGGACCAGCTCATGGGAGAGAAATATTAATTCATTCTACATGCTGAGACAGTCT